AAAAGAAATCTAAAGGGTCAAAAAGGAAGAAAAAAGGGGGGTTGGGCGAGTTACACAGTCGAAAACCGCGGTTAAGGGGGGTATCCGGACGAGTCAGACGAACGCGACGCAGTGTCTGCAATTGCACACAACACGCGAGCAGCTGATTCTGCTACGAAATCTTCATGCTGGCAATTTGCCAGTCAGCTTATCGATCTTCACTAATGTTGCTCCAATGCGAAAGTGGTGAACGGCAATTAGATTCCGTAGTCAGCCTAGCGAGAGGCGGAGGCCTCTCGTCCCCCACTCTCAGGACCCTTATTGTGCCCTACCCAGAACTTTTTACGACCTCATTTTGGCACATATGGTATCAGAGGGTGCCTCGAATTCATACCATGTAAAAATCTCCGGAACCATTTTTGTAACTGTGCCTTTAAGTCAACATACCTCACGGCTGGGAGATCGGACTTGAATTGTCTCAAGAAGAGCCTACAGATACTGCACAAAATTTCTTCGAGATATTGATCGGTTCACCTCTTCGAAAACTGAATTTTGCTTTAGTGGTCAAGACGAGAATACAAACCATCAGAAAGGGAGCAAACGATATGGTTTACAAAGGTGTACCGGACGCTTTTTGGTAAGGAAATGAGCAGAAGTATTGGAGGGTTTCTTAATAACGAAGACGAGTATTTGCCATAGAGCTAGGAACAAGTCTACTTCAAAATACTCACAAAATTGCAAATTTGAATTTTCAGTAGTATTCTGCGTACTGAAGGACCAAAGGCACTATTCAAAGGAGCTGGTTGTCGAGTTTTGGTGATAGCGCCGCTGTTCGGAATTGCTCAGACCGTCTATTACATAGGAGTAGCTGAATGGATACTTGGAATGCCGAAGGCCCATCACGTCTAGCAAAGACGTTACTAGTCCTCTTAGAGAATCTACTTACTTACCTTTCAGTTAGCAGACACTTGTTATGCTTACGATCAGGACGGTATAAGCACAATTCAGGGGAAACTATTAACAAGGTCCTTTTTTATGGGGTTCAAAAATTAAATTAAATAGGCTTACGAACAATAAAAATATCTCGTGACCCATATAACAGGACTCCATGGTGTAGATAGGATTGGGGAGAATGAACAGTGAATTATGATGACTAAGCGATCCTTAACTCAGCAAAACCTCATATGCCTTTTTAAACCGGTGATTTCCTTCTAAGCAATGAAGAATTCAAGGAGCAGTGGACTAATATCAAACACGTTCACCAACGGTTTCACCAAGGTCTTGATTTGGTGGGGCATGACAATAAAATTCTCGTAGGCTGTTTAGGAACAAGTTGTATTCACCCTGTCGTATGAAATACAAGTGCCTGCTAGCATTGAGACTAGGTGTACTAATAAGAAATCTCTTTTAAATTATCTTAACTTTATCGTATTTATCGAAAACCTCTACATCAAAATAATAAAAGGTTTTGCCATGTTTGAGACAGTCTTTGCTAAAAAGTAGACGTTTGCTGCCATAAGCTGCTTTCATAGTCCGCCGGCCGGCGTGCCGGCGGAGGCAGTGCTAGGGGGGGAGGAGGGCGGCAGACGGTCGGCCAGCCCTTCGAAGGGCTGTAAACAAGGAGTGACAAGATCAAAAACCATTTGTACGAGCCCTTGGTTGTTTGGTTTTTGATCTTGTTCTTCTTTGTTTTCACCCCTTCGACCGACCGTCTGCCGCCCTCCTCCCTCCTAGCACTGCCTCGTGGCACGCCGGCCGGCCGGCGGACTATGAAAGCAGCCATACGCGTATTCAGTCCTTCTAATTCGGAAAGGATTTCTATAAAGAAAGATTTATTTTGCAAGATGTTTCCGTGAATTCGCCGTCTTTAAGAGGTATTCATGCTCAATAGGACCGTAATCACTCATGACCGCAAAAGTGATTACGGTTGTGTCATGATAAGTTACAAAGCAAATCTTCACCAGCGAATACAAAAAGAGCTGAGAACCCAACCACAGACTACTAGCATCAGTTTTAGCAGAAATTTTGAAAGCGTTTGAGCAAATGAAGTTTTCTAAAAGTCTATCCTTTGGCCCACAAGGATGGCGGTTTGTAGGCAAAACTTCGGCCTCGGATCCATACTTGTATTTTCTACACCTCGGCGAAATGATAGCTGTTGACAACAACATAGAGCCAGATCAAGTTTTGTCTTTTTTGATTTTGTGAATTCACATGCGGTACTTTCTTTTTCCTTAAGCTCGCCCAGAGAAGTACATGGCGAGAAATCACCAGCTACTCCGACGACCATTCCTGCGTGATTTGAAAGAGAAGAAAATGCCGGAACCAGTTAGTTTTTATTGAGAATGCCATGTTACGAACTAGTTTTTGAAACATCGGACAAAATGAATTTGGTCTACGAAGATACCATGAGTCACTGGTGCCAGACAATGACTAGGCCACCATAAACTTCAAGTGCCCAGGTGGTTTTACATGAAAACAATCACATTCTGCAGATGGGCCGAAACAAATGGCTTTCAGAGAGTGTTTCGATTTAGCCCAGCCTTTGATTAGGATACCTCTGACCAATAGTTTCTAACTCATTTTGTAAGAGGAGCTTCGGTAGGAGTTGCCGCTGTGGGTTGCATGAAATGAGCGTGAACCTAGAACCTTAATGCTTCCATATGAACTACAACCACCCAGGCTTACACCCATACGTGTTCTATACTAGTCAGACCTATCTTCTATCTTGGGCTTGCTAAGAGAATCGAATTTATCAGGAACGGAAGAAATAGATAATCGTGAGCTCCTGTCCGTAAGGCCGAATATGAGTTCATGTGCCACCAAGTACGATTGAGCCAGTGAATCGGAGGGGCCGCCTATGTCGAATGAGATAGAAAAAGGGAGCTTACTGCTGCCCGTAGGACTCGTTTTTGCCATTTCATGCCCTTTTACTTGTCCCTGCCTCTGCCCTATATCATGACATCACAAACTAGCTCAAATGAGTGATTAATTGAAATTTGCTCAGACATAAACCACCAGATGACTAATGATCCTTTCTTTGAACTTCTTCCAATAAATTTGGTCGTAAGTATGGCAACACTGAGTCATCATTGTATTTCCGTTTACCTAGCGCGAGACGACTACGATCATCGGTCACAAAACCTGTTTTCTAAGTGAGTACTTAGGTTGTAACAGGCATCTTTCTCCGCCTTATTGCCAGTCTTTCCGTCTGATGGTAACACTTGCCTTTGTCGATTTGATTCCCGTCTTATCAATGCGCTTAAGGGAACTTTGACTATTTCCGTACTGTATTAGGCGGGGACGCAAATTCCTGAACCGAACTGCCTTTAACAAATTGAGAACATTCTCAGAATCTTCAGGAACTTTTGAGGAACTTTTTTTCGTACTTGCGATTTTCTGGGGGTTATGTTATCATTGAATGGTGACTGGTTCTTCAATTCAACAAATCTACTGGGGATGCTTAGAATCCCTTGCAACATTCGGTCTTCTCTCTTATAACTGGAAGGACCCGCAACATGGAATCGTCGCACTGTGCAACTCTCTGCTAGAAATCCAATTACTGGATCGAAGTAGTGTATACAGGTGCTTTCCGAAGTTCCAAATCTTTCTTTATCCCAACACTGTGTCCGATGCTGCCCTCTGGGAGACAGTCTAACTGTGAAAACAAAAAAGTGAAGAGAACTTGTAGAGAAAAAGCGGCGCCAATCGGTGATGCACTGCTTGGAAACCTCTTTCTATCCCTTGTGACTTTTCGGATATTGTGATATTGTGATGTTTTTTGGTGAATGTTGCGTTCTACCTTGCTCAAGCCTTCTCTATGTTCAGCTCAGTAACGTCCTTATAACGCTGTTCCATTCGTTGAGAATGTTTCACATGAAGCGTCCCGGATAAGAAATTACACTAAAGCACTGGGAAAGATAAGAAAAAATATGGAAAATAGTGGCAACTCCGTGACCATCTGCATCAGCCAGACGAGTTGCGATGGTGGTGTCTGGATGACAAGCTGCAAAGGGGGGCAGTTAATGTACTCTACGAACTAATGTGTTTTATGAGTAATTTTCGTACTTATTGAATAAAATAGCTGCAGTACTCTGAGTTGAAAGAAATTAGAATTACTAACTTTTTTTCCGGTTGTGGACCAATCAAATTAGGGGAGTGCCTCACTGGGGAAGGTTTGGTAGTGGAATATCCATCAGCCTCGCTTTGAGGCAGCCGTGGTTTTGAGCGTGACCCCAGCGATACCCAACACGCCTATGCTTTATTATTACACAAAATGGCCTTTCTTATCAGTCCTCTGCATTTCTTCGCTTTCAGTTTACACACCGTTACGGTAAAATTATCATCGTTTATTCAATCAACTTATACCAAATTATGGATTGATAGTGGCTGATCGCTGTCAAAATTGTATACTCAGTGTTTACAAGATCCAGATCCTTTGAAAAATGCCGTGCACAGTAATGCGATCTGAGTCTAAACGCGCCATCCGCACAATCCACACCGTCTAGAGCCCTACACAGTTGACCTGTATCGACTTCAGCGCGCGACTTTTAGGCTCGCGCGACGTACGTCACTATTAATCGATAATGTTCTTACGTGTATACCGGCCTCAGCGAGTCATTAGAAACTACAGTAGGATATATCCAGCCCGGTTTACCTTTGATCTTAGCTGGGCTTCCATTACTTTGGGTAGTTAGTTATGAAACTGTCAGATTATGTTCTCTAGTTATGAAACTGAGCAGAACATTGTTGACATTAGACGACCCCTGACTTGAGTTCTAAGCAGATTTCTTCCCGGTCCATGTCTCGAACATTTCTCATCGCCGCTATCTCGATCAATGATTCACTGTTGCAACTCCTCTACATTACTGTTTTAGGAAGTTTAGGTTGCTTCTAGACGCCTTTTCTTCTGGCGATAGTCTCTCTATTCATCATTCAGAAACAGTTACCTCTGTTTAGCTAAAATGGTAAATAATTTATAAATGGGTCTTTGCTGGTGAAAGTTTCTCAACAATGCTCTAACAACTAATCTCTGCTTTGGACTCGATACGACGTTTCGGGAGCTAAAACCTTCTTTCTTCAGATGGGCGTTCTCAGTATTCTTCTCTTGATACTCTCGTGCTCAACGATGGCACAGACCCTTTTCACACAGTCTGCCGGAGTGAAGGGGACGTTGATGTGTGGTGATCGACCTCTGGCGAACGCCAAAGTGAAGCTTTATGATGACGATACCGGTAAGGTCTCACGCAATCGCTTTTTCTTCTATTCTGGAGCACGAAAAAACTCCCTGATGAGCCTAGTTTTCAAGTTTACTATGGTTCTGTGTCACCATACTATCTCTTTCTAGGACCCGATCTTGATGATCTCATGGCCGAAGGTACTACCGACTCAATGGGACAATTTCTGCTCTTTGGCCATGCTTCAGAAATCATGACAATCGATCCAAAGTTAAATATTTACCACGACTGCGACGATTCATTGACGGTATGTTATGTCATTCAACATAAGTACGATCAATGAAAAGAAATAGGGGCCATACTTTGAGATAAACTACTTTGCCTCAAAAAGAGGGCCCTCTTTCGCCGTTTAGCATAGAAAACTATTAATCTGATGGAGGCCTTTACCCTCATAACGTACACGACTATGTAGACCAGCCGAGACCACGCGCGCACGATTGGTCTTTCCCACTGAAGTAGCTGGCATGAGCTAAGTCAAAACGTCACATGGTGTACAGAGTAAAGAAGAAGTCTGAGAAGGGCGGAACTTCAACCTATTCCCGAACGCCTACAATCCACTTATTATAGGGTGCACAGAGAATCGCCCAGAGCACTTTCAAACTCGGCCTTGCCTAATTCTAAGTGGCAAGAATGCCGTTCCTGTGACTTGAAAATTTCCTAGTGGGTACTCTTTTTAATTGCACCCGCTTTGCTAATAGGGGTGAATTGTATTATAGATCCATTACTCATTAAACTGGAAATGTCTCAACCTCATTAGAAGCCACTCCATCAAGTTCATTTGTGTTCTACCTACCCGCAAGGATCACTTAATGCTGAGATATGAGTTTTCAACGACAACTTTTGAGGATAAGATTGGCCCAAAATTTTTCGAGTGAAAATAAAGACATGGTGCCTTTGGGAAATAATAAAAACGTTCCTGACAACTATTTCATTCTGACATCTCCACTTTTCAGCCTTGCCAACGAAAGGTGTCGTTCTTCATTCCAAAAGACTACGTGTCATCTGGTGAACATCCAAAGAAATTCTTCGACATCGGCCATATCAACATGCAAATACAGTTTAAATCAGAGGAACGAGACTGTCTGCACAGAAGATGATACATTTCCATATCCAACAGTTTATAGCATTCGTACGGTTAAAATAATAGGATATTGTTTTAACACTTTGTAAAAAATTCAAAAGTATGAGTCGAAGTTTTTCAAAGCATTGTATGTATAATTCATTCCTCATCTTTGAATCCTCAAGAAATGTTCATATCGTTCATGAGAGCTCTACATAAAGGACAAAATTTGACTTCATTTTTCGATCTGTCTAGAATGCGCCATGCATTCTTTCTATGTGTCTAATAAGAAAGATCGAATGTGAAACTAGTCTGATTAATAGGGTATATGTCGGTGGAAAGTTATCGTTCAATTACTCAAGGGTGGCAGCAGTCAGCTGACCTCATTGGAGACAAATTTTCATTCAAATAACAAAATTCTAATTTTAGACAAATGAAAAAGCGGTCAAAAAACATTGGAAGGGCATCTGCGGAGTGCATTTACTCGTCTTCAGCTCCGAGGTTACCGATACTTGAAGGACGTTGCGTTATTTGAATAAATGTTAGTCAATAACCACAAAAAAAAGTTCAAGGGCAAGAAATAAATAAAAATAAGCAGAAATAAATAAGCTGACTCTAAAATTTGGAATTCCCCTGGAATCTGGTCCTTGAAACTCTGACACCCACTTTGGTGTAGCACACCCATTTATACTCCAGGATCTGTACTTTTCTACTACTTTCACATACTCAACTTTACAGCCTAGAATGAACGAATCTGTTACAGAACGAAGTAGAAAGAGGGAGTTGCTTCTGAAGAACTCCACTTATTTTGATAGCCTTGGAGCTGATATAAGTGTTTGAGGCTAATGAGGGCACTCCCACACCCACATAATTGTCGATTAAGTCCCACAAGTTCAAGATTTGGCGAAGTGTTTGAACAGAACCCATGAACTTTTTCTATTACAAACCCTTTGCTTCTTCCTTACCCTACTAATGAACACAGAGGGAAGGTTTTCCCTTGTTAATATGCCGCCTAAGGAGAACGCGGAACGGAAGCTAGACCGCTGCTTTGATCATTTCCTCTTCTTCTCCTTTCGTTAGATTTTCAGTCGTAATGAAGTGTTTTAATTGAAGTGACCCCCTAGGCACGTGAGGGGTTTAAGCGGTGCCAATTAACAGTTGAAATGGGTTGCCAACTGTCATAGTCTTGGCCGTCGGGTCAATCAATGTCGGCCGCGGTCATCGACTTGGACAAACTCGAGTATCCTTGCTCGCTCCGATTTGCTTGATTTCTGTTCTCGTCGGTTGCCCTGCTTCCTTGATAACCATCACCCATTTGTTCCAGTTCTCGCTTCAGTTATGCAGAATCTCGTGAAAGAATTCGTCACCTCTTCTCATGCCCTCCGCACTTATTCATCTTCATCACGTTGAATAGAACCCAATCGATCGTTTGATTGAACTTGATAGCAACTGCGAATGAACGAAGTATTGTTCCATGTTCTTTTTGCCCAAGACTCGCTTTCTCTAACTCCGGGGCAAGATGCCCTGATTGGTTCCAGTGCTTATTTCAGCATTGGGTCCATCCTCTCATCCAAGTATATAAATAGTACAATATGAGGTATGCGTTTAAAACCTTTCAAAAGCCTTGGGGCGTCAATCAATCCCATTTGAGGGATGCGCCTAGGCATTCGACTTTGTTCACAATCGCAGCGGCGTTTTGAATGCCTATACAATGACTTCTGATGGCCAGCAAATGTACACAGCGCTTTTATCCTTCCAAACGAGTTTGGTACCTATTAACCAACAGCAGACGGATGGAAAACTCGGATATCGATCCGGGATTTTAACCCGTGACCATGCGTGTGTCATAGCGCGCCACTTGCCACTACACCACCACCGCCCATCTGAAGATTTGATCAGTATATAAGAAGGTATCAAACATTTCGAACACAGATGCCGATTGTCGGAACCTATGCAATCGATACTGGTGGATTCTTGCTTAAGTTATGCTTTCCCGGAGTTATAGTTACCCTAGTTACCTTAGAATAGTTACCTTCACTTTTCAATCTCTTTTACTGGCTCTTTCTCTCGCTTTTGTGCCTTTTTTCCGTGGCGGAGCTTACCTGTTATACTCACCACTCATATTTGCTTCAGTTCCACTGTTTGCGACTGTTCTTAATTATTCTAAATATTTTGCAGTTCGTTGCAATTTTTACTCGTGCTTTTACACTTCATAGCACATAGCAATCAGTGTAACCAATTCCCGATGGTTTGCGCCCTCTGCAGGTCTGCGATGCGGACGCGTCGCGCACTTGCATGCAAGACCGCGTTGCAGCCGCGCGCTTAGCAATGTGATTAGGTATTGAGGTTGATGCACTTTACCAAGTATTTCATTTTGCAGAATGCTAATTCTCCTTGTGCTCCTCGCATATTGCGAGGCACTTATGCACATCCGTGATCCGTCCACGTGGGTACCGATCACTCGATCAAAATCGGTTAGGTCATCTCCATACAAGTGGTCTGAAGAGTGGCTTGATGGGGTACCTCTGGATCACTTCGCTTTTGCTAATAAGGATCAATTCAAATTACGGTGAGGATTTCTTTGAACAGTTATATGTGGTAGGATAGATCCCTTCGGACAATTCTGAAATGAAGAAACTATTTTCCTTCAGGTTTTTCATAAATACTGATAATTATGAAGAAGGCGGCCCGATATTTTTCTATACAGGAAATGAAGGCAAGTTGGAAGGATTCGCAGAGAATACGGTTAGTTTGAAGTTCTATGACATGCTTGTTAGCTTGGAAAAGAAGATCGCAATCCCTTAACTTATGTTAGCTACCTATGTACAAAGGATACTTATCGATTGGGGAGGGAGGTCTGGAAAAGGGTGAAGTCCAACACCCACAGAATCTCAGATGACTCATTTTAAACTGCTCTGATTCTGAGAACCGTGAATGAATGAATGTCACCTGAAGTGCCGAAATGTCAGAGTTGTGAAAAAACAAAACTCGAAAGAGGCCATGAAATAGATCATCTGGAAGCTAAACCGCGCCCACAGGCGAAAATCCCTCCTACTGACCGCGATCCAGATAGGTCCTAACATCTAGGTAAATGTACAACTGTACATGTTTTCAGGGTTTTATGTGGGATATTGCTCCGGAATTTCATGCCGCCGTAGTCTTTGCTGAGCATCGTTTCTATGGAAGGACACAGCCGTACGGCGCTACCAGTTACAATACTACCGACCACCTCGGATATCTCAGTTCAGAACAAGCCCTGGCTGATTTCGTGCTCCTTATTGATTACCTCAAACAGAAGGTAGGCTTTAAAATTCCATTCATATGGTAACACGAGAAGAGTTCGAGCGAGGGTGATTCACCCCTGAAACAACGTACTTGAAGTTGTGTTCTCCTTGTTGCTCTTCGAATGTCATCAGGACAAAGGGTTGCATGGTATAATCGAAACAATCCATTCAATTCTGTTTACATGTCAGCACGAAATACTTTTTAATTGCAGAGAATACCCGGGGCCGAGAATTCTCCTGTGATCGCTTTTGGTGGTTCATATGGCGGTATGTTGGCCGCATGGATTCGAACAAAATATCCACATAAAGTCGCCGGGTTTGTACTATTACCGTTAATATTTGACATACTCGTCTTACCGTTGCAACCCTATTATAAGAAGACAAAAGAGTTGTTGAAAACTTGCAGTAGAGTTGGCTCCATAACTTAATATCAAATGGCATGACATGCTTTTGGGACAGGACCTATTAATGCCAGTTCGACATGTCCACTGTACCAAAATACTGTGACCTTACCTATGGGAGTAATTCGAACCCTCGGTAACGGGTATGTTATTTATTTCCAGTCCAGACATAATTTTGATGCCATATCGAAAGAATTTTACCTCACATTTGCTCCAAAAGATCTCAGCAGTGGATATATACAGTATTTATTCCGACATGGTTGGAGATTTGCGACCAAAACGTTGGTCTCGGGAAGGAGCTAACTCGTATTTGCTTACAGCGGCTCTGGTGAGAACAAGTGTTGGCTAAAAATGACAACGAATAGGCTAGAAATGACTATTCCATAATAGGGTCCGAGAATATCATTGTAACCGAACTTATGTTTTACGGCTTTTTGCTTGCAATTTTGGGGCTGTAATAGAAGATTGTGTTATATACAATATACAAATGATCATGCCAAAATCCCTCTATTTAGAGCAATCGCAGCGTCAGCTCCTGTATTTTGGTTTGTCGACTCCCACGTACCAGAAGATATTTATGCCAAGGTATGTATCTGAATCCGCTATATACCTCTGCTACTGTAAAGAGCATCGGTTCGTGAGCTGCGCCGCAGCTGCACTCATCCCAGACCTGGCGGCCACGTTATGTCGATCTGGTCTAGCAATTCGTATGATTTGATCTTTTCTTACAGCACAGCCCTTCTTTTTTCTTTACTGTAATGTTCCTTCTCTCTTTGAGCCTCAAAACTCCTCGATCACGTATATGTATTAGTCTCCGCTCCCTCCATACCGTCTCTCCTGCTTTCATCTTCATTGTATACTTTCCTGCTCCACGTCTTCTCATCTGTCTTTACTCATTCATGCGCGCCACTCGAGGTGTTCATCAGATTTCGATATTCTTCACAATTTCCATAGATCTAGGAGGTTTCAGATCGTCACTCGATCATTCCTTGGAGCTGGTTGCAATCGTAAAGCTATTGAGAGAGGATGGCGAGCTTTGAAAAATCTGGCAAAAACAGGTACCGCTTAAAGGCACTGTTCACGAAAAAATGGTTTCGGAGATCTGCACATGGTTTGAATTCGACGCCTCCTCTGATACCATTNATCACCAGCTACTCCGACGACCATTCCTGCGTGATTTGCAATGGGGAGTGTAAGTGAAAATATGTCGCTAAAAAGCGTTTCGAGCTGAACTCCGCTTCCACTGTCCAACACGTTGACGATAGAGAAGAAAATGCCGGAACCAGTTAGTTTTTATTGAGNCATGTGCACCACTCGAATATTCATCAGATTTCAATATTCCTACAATTTACATAGATCTGGGAGATTTCAGATCGTCACTCGATCATTCCTTGGAGCTGGTTGCAATCGTAAAGCTATTGAGAGAGGATGGCGAGCTCTGAAAAATCTGGCAAAAACAGGTACCGTTTAAATACTCGCTTGGTCATAGCGTATTATCGATCTAATTTAAGTCCTCTCAATAAATGCTCCTAAAATAAGCAGCAGTCGGAATGAGGTTTCATCTGAACCCCTAATTTCCTTTCGTTGAGAGAGAGACACTCTCTTTTCCACCCAACATTTGCAACCCTTTGGCGGAACTCTAATTGATAAAGCATGAAAAGAGAGACGCATGGCTTAATCTGGGAAAGATTGCTTTTTACTTTTATGTAGGTGTAAAATTTGATCTACATTCACTTTTTAGAGAAAGGACGCGCCTATCTGAATGATTTGTTCCATCTGGAGGAAAAATCTCGTGTAGCTTCTGATGACGACCACAAGTTCCTTGCTTCGTTCGTTCGTGAGGTATTCGAAAGTATGGCCATGGTGAATTATCCGTACCCGAGCGAATTTCTTGCTCCTTTACCGGGATGGCCTGTTAAGGTAAGCAGCCGTTGGTTGAGATATAATAGCTTTATGACTGTTATTCAAAAATAGGGGAAAATTACGTAAACAGCTAGCCTTGTAGGCAAAATCAGTTACTCGAAAATTTGCTTTGTTTGCTCCACTATTGCAAAATGGTAGCTGGTTCCCTAGCAATGAGCCTACTCGTCTTTGAACTTCACCAATCTGACCTGGATAAACGAATGGGGTGTAGACACTTTTTCATAAGTGAGAATGACAGGATTCGCTTTCGCTTACCGAGTTTGAGGCTTTTGAATTTTTTGAATTCTCAGTCAAACAAACATCGAAAGATACGGAGTTTTCTCTACATATAGATCAAACTTGCGGTTGAATGTGACTGCAAATCTTATTGGGACTGGGACTTATTGGTGTTACCCTCTGAAGTTAATGCTCGGTAGTTTGATCTTCTAAAGTGCTGGTGATTCGTGGTTTGGCGCTGAGTTTGAGGCTCTGAAGGCTTTCAAATTTTATTCAGAAGTAGAAGAAAAAGTTCTAGGCACGGGGTCTGTGATTGCTACCGCTTCCCTCTTATCCATTCATTCATTAGGCCGCCGTAGCACAGTTGAACTGAAAAGTTCAAAGAAGAAAAGATAGTGAAATTCGGCCTCCGAATTTCCTACCTTACAATGTCTTTATGTTGCTTCCAAAATGCCCAGTTTTTTTGTGAACTCGTCCAAATTTAGAAAAGTGCTTAATGAATGAATGGGAAAGGGGAAGGCGACGGATCCGCACCCTTGTTCCCATGTTCGCACGCACCCGAGCGGATGTGTTTTCTCGTAATTACCGTAACGGTCTCCTTAAAATTCATATACCCCTACATTGCGTGATTCGTCACACGGCAAGCATGACACGCCATTTGGGTGCAGAACCTCGCAACCTGCTTCTATAAAAGATTTACAACGTAGCTACCGGCTTTATACCTATCACTCCACTCCTGTAAATGAGTGATGGGCTTCGTAACGTAAATTCATTTCTCAAATCTAATTAGATATAACCTGAGCGAGTAGAACTCCCTGTCGCCTTCTGTTCTGTGAGAGCAGGCAGTTTTTACTAAACGGGGTGCATAGCTTTGTTGTTGTAATTACAGAAGCTCACTCCCACTTCAGTTTTATTCCGTTTTAGGAAGCCTGCAAATTCCTTGGCAAGGTCCAAAGCACGGACGAGGACGCTGCTAGACAGCTTTACGAGGTATGAATACCACCATTTATATAACAAGGTGGGCTAGTGGCATAGCAACGCTACTACAAGCGTGGGCTGTAAATCAAATAATGAATGAAGTTATACCGAAATTCAAAGAACTCTTTTACTCCCGAAGAGCAGTTACTTGAGTGTTCGAGTCCTCTGACCAACGGATCCACAGTTCATCAGGCAGAAGACTGGAACAATTGATTGATTGCTTCGGATGAGGGAGCAAATTATTGGGTTGTACGTATAGTTTGTTCTATAGGCTGCTTATTTGAATGGAAATTGAATGCGTGGCGCATCGCTCAAGAGATGGATCCAATTCAAAGATCCTCCCAGGAAAACCGCAAATTTTAGGTCACAAATCTGTACTACAACTACACGGGAACGAAAACGTCATTCTGTGCTAATGCAGATCGTTGTGAAGGAGCATTTGCTGCACTTGGTGATCCGATGGGATGGCCATGGCAGGTGAGGTAGCTAAACTCTTGTACATAAGAACCGTTGTTAACGCTGGTGATTGGTTGTTTTCTTATTTTTCAATGGAAATAATGTGGAACGTTGTAATGATTCCCACATCGTTCAACCCCGGAAGCTCAAGTGATCACCCTACGCCGCTCTTTACCGAATAATTACCTCTAAATGTCAAATACTGGGAAGAAATGAAATACTGGCTTTGAAGAATAATTTAGGAAAAACCTAATCAAAAACGATGGCCAAAGAACGAGTCCGTTCATTTGACTAGCCCAGTTCTTCAACGTTCGACTACCTTAGCCAACTGAATCTAACCCAGGTTATGGGCGGAGGATTCGGCCACAAACTGAACTCGATCTGGTTTTTATGCATTCTGGAAACCGCTCCTATTCAGTGCATGTCCAGAGCCACCCAAAAAATCTTTACTAACTTGTTATATCACTTCACTGTTTTATTCATAGACATGTACGGAGATGGTGATGCCAATATGTGCAAGCGGTTGGCCTAACGACTTCTTTTGGAAGGATTGCCCATACACCATGGAAGGAGCAATTGAGAACTGCGAAAAATGGTAGGTGTTTGAAACTGTGAATGAGGAACGAATCGGACCTTTTAGCATAGGTAATCGGGGAATGCAGGTACGAAGCAAAGGACATTCAGAAGTTCTGTTTGCTGTCAAGTCGACAGGGAATTGGCTTGTAAACAGAGTTCTGTTTTCATAGAGACCATTCCATTAATGGTAATCCCCATTATCTCACATAAAAAGAAAAGCAGAAGAATTAAGATGATCTTGAACTTGGTTTACCGTATGACCGTCTGGACTCTCTCATTTGGTAACAACTTTCGGCTATGTGGATTTCCTTTCTGAGGATGCGCGCGGCAAATTGCGCCACGAAGATCGTAACGCTTTGACTTTACCGCCTATTATTAGGGGCACATATTTAAAGTAGAGTAGATTAGAAGGATCACCTGACCCTACTAAACTACTCTACTTCGAGTTTGTGCCCCGAAATTGGCGTCGCATTGTACAAATCGTCACAAACTTCGCCGTGCAATTTGCTGCGCGCGTCCTCGAACGCACGTAACGCACGTCCCCCACAAATTTCCCTGGAAAAAACCCTATAATAATAAACCACAGTCGCATCAAATGTCCGCAATGTACTGGATCAGTGTTTCTTTCCCTCTGTTCGTCACTATTATCTTATGCCTGGTCTTTAAGCCAGTAAACATTACATTTTTTGTCCCATTCACGAGTGAGATTGGGTAACTCGTACAATTGTTCAGGTTCGGAAAAGTCGGCTTCAAATCTTCGATGCTTCGGCCACACTGGCCTACCCAAAACTATGGCACTGAGTTCCCATCAGCTAGCAATATCGTTTTCTCGTAAGTGTTAAATACAAGATGATATTACTACTTTTCTCATAGATTGTTCTGCTCAAGCCGCACTCTACTCATTTCTGAAGCATACTCGGAATGCACGGTTAACTCCGATTCCTTTTATCAAAACAAGTGGTACCTTTCTAAAAATCTGAACTGGAATGCCTTAATTGAGCGGGCACTACATATTTGAGCCAAAGAACGAAAATAATGGGGTGCTCGGCATAAAGGGAGCACTGCAACCGGTATCCGCATGGCGGAACTTCTCCCGTCCCACATTCGCTTTGCGGTTGTCTCGTGGCTTCAAACTGCAATTACCGTACTCAGCCCGCCTCCCGGCCAATCGATAGGACACCATATTTTTGTTGACTGTCTCACTTATTTGATTGGTTTCGATTGCTTCTGTTTCTTTTTCCGTTTTCATGTTTACCATACTTGAATGTTCGGAATGACTCCTTCGCTATTATCGACGATCTATACCGCATCGGGATGGAAGAAAGTGATCCGCAGCTGTAGATATATTTAAAGGACTCCCTAACTCGCAGATTGCTCCAATCTTCTATCGCATTTCTATGAT